GACATAACAAATCCAAGCTCTGCCCCCGTAGCCTCGCTATGCAAGCCAGGCTTGTAGATAAGAGAGAACAATCACGGAACAAGCGTGTGCGTTAGCGAACTGTAATGCTTGTAAGAGAGCTAACTATGATATTAGCTTTTGAGTGCTGAATATAAGTGTCCGAGAGCTGAATAGCTCCTACGTTGCCTACTACTTCTTCTACACTGGCAAGCTTTTTTTTTTTTTGGTAGAACAGTAAGGGAAAGTCCCGCCTCCTTCGCTCTGATTGGCCAGAAAAGCTGGAAACGTTGCACACGCTCAAGCCAAACACAGGCTGTCGGCTCGGTACATCGAACAGAACATTATCCCACTTTTGAATCTCCTAACACTAACCCCAACCCGACAGACGATGATGTTTTACAGCCATTAGGAATAACCAGCACTTCTAGCCAATCAGAGGCAAAGGAGGGTGGGACCTTCCCCTACCATCCTACCAAAAAAAAATTTCGCCACTGGAAATGTTAGGCTACAAGCTAACGCAAAGAGAACTGTGCAGAGCAGCGCTGTCTCCGCCCACAACACGAGCTCTGCAGGAGAAAAGCCCTTAAAAATGACACAAGTAATGTGATTTTGGCCAGAAACTTCATAATCACAGTCTAAAGACCACTGAGAACACCTTACGTAGTAAAAAAAAGATCGGAGTGGGACTTTAAGAGTGCTCCTGAGTGCTCTGCGATGTACCAAACTTCCTTAGAATAAATCCTCGATAGGAGAACTTTATTCTTAAAAGCAGCATTTTTGAGTAAGAAATATTTGATGGTCAAATCATGCATCAGTTTCTATGAAGGGGATGCAAACATCCTCCCATAAAACTACTTAAGTGGACCTATTAGAAAAAAAAGTTGAAATGTCTCAAAAACATTTTACAAAACTGACACTCTGAGCACCAGTGTGAACAGACGGAAACTAGTGTTTACAATTTCACATCCCATTCCCCTAACCGATTTTTACCCATTTTCACTGGTGTGTTTCTAGTTAAAGAAAAAGAATCTGGGATTTTAACTTAAGCAAGATGTTGCCACGTTATTACAGCTACACGAAATAAAGCACCAAAATATGATTAAAACATCTCAAACTTTATCCCCCTGTTAGGTTGTTAGTATTCTGGTTGATACGTCTGGCCTGACACTAAACATAATCACTGCCTGAAAACAAGGGCGAAAGAGTGTTGAAGCCCTTTTTGATCTAGGCTGCAGCTTGGAGTCAGTAATGAGGATGTTGATTTTGTTCTGATTATAGAATTGCTGGTCTGTTTGTTGATATTTCTCAGCTGTGGCCTTCCCTCCCGCTGAGCAACATGGACACCAACTGCCAACATGTGAATTAAAATTACTTACCAGCCAATTAGTCACACAGCTCACGCTCAGAACGGATCATGTTCAGCACAACAAGAGATCAAATTCGGACTTTCTCAGTTAAGACCTCGCAGTTGCTTACGAGGTCGGTTGAACTTTGGCAGGAAGATATAGCGGAAGAGATGCATCTTTCATTGAAATTGTTGCATCAAAGCGGACATGTTTTCTTTAAATATATATATTTTGACGGTGCATGCCGGGAAAAACTGTTTAACCTTTCTTGTGTTATAAACAAGCATACCCTAAGTGAACTCTGCTCTGACCTTATACCAACTTCGGATGATCATACGCATGCACGTAACTCCATTTACTGTCTACAAACTCAAAGGAAGCAAATACACCAGCAGCAGTCTCCTGCACGCGCCACGGATTTCAAGAAGCACTCAAAAAGGCAGCAGAAACAACTCATACACCCTCAAAACCCTCTTAGTAAAAATGCTAAAATCTGAGCACTCCCATTATACATAATTTAGGGGAATCTATATTCATAGAAGTGCGGGGCGTGTTGTGCTCAATGAGGTAAAACGCCCCTGTGTGGCTAATGGAATGGCCTGAGTTGCGTGATTGAGTGAAATGTGCTGGAAAGATTGGAAGGAATTTTAGTGCAGATAAATAAAGAGGAGATTCTGCTTTTTACTGGGAGTCAGCGTTAATGCAGCATCTCCCCAGGTGATCAACACATTCAAATGGGAGAGATGGAAAAGATGGAGGGAGAAGAAAGCGATGGGGCAGACAAAGGGAGGGAGAGAGGGAGCAATAGATGGACAGATAGGGAGATGACAGAGAGAGAGGACACTTTAAGAAATAGCCTGCCTTGATACTGCGCCACATGCACAAGGGCCATAGCATAGTGTCTCATATATCATCATAATGTTACCATTGGAAGGTTCAAAGGAAGAAAAAAGAAGGGGAGTGAAAAAATTGGTCTCCGCAAATTCAAAGTCAAAATAACCAAGGGACATTATGAAGCTTCTACAGTAGATGACTTGAGAAGGCCAGGCCTGTCACCAGCATTTTTTTCTCCTTTTTTCTTCGTCTTACCTTCCACAATTTTACGTCAAATGCGAGCGGGCAGCTCCTTTCTTTTCACCTCCCACTCTCCACATCCATTACCTTTGGAGAGATGCAAAGTGAACATTTCAATTGGATTGCAATGGCCAGTTAGCGCTGCTTTGATCCCCACTCTGCTCTTTGAGGGCTCCATTGTTCCTGATTTGCTGCCTTGATTTGCCTGCCTGTGGATAATGGCCGAGGAGCCGCAGTCTGGCCTTCTCCCATCAACCCATTTCTCCTTATCATGGCTCTGAAGCTCCAAACATATATGAATTACTGTTATATACCCTTATTGTATGAAGCCCCTCATTTTCAGATGTATACAATGGAGTGTGTAGGTAGAGATACTAGAGCCTGCAGTGGTGACTCAGGTTTTCGATACCAGTTTGAACCAAACATACTGGTGTAAAATCCCAAGATACCTTGCACTGGTGCTGGTTTTACCAAGAAGTGGCAGCTACAATTTTCTTGGACCAAACAGTCCTCTGTCTCATCAATCAAACAGACACCATAAATTGTTGCAGGGGCGACTTTAAGTGTGCTGCAGTTTCTTCTTTATCACAAAGGCTGTTTGAGTTTGGTTGTAGCATCACCTTTGAGAGTAAAGCAGAGATATACATATTGTGTGAATGCTCGCCTCATTGTTTAATAGTACAACGTATTCATTTAAAGCTTCTGTGAGGACATTTTGTGTAGTTTTAAAATAGGTTATGTCTTTTTACGACTAACAAAAACAAGCTAGACAATCAGCAACCAGATTTGTTATTTCTATATGGTTATTTTTATGGCTGTAGACACTGATGGGGGTCAGTGACTGACATGCTGGTTCATATTTTCAAAATAATACAATTGACTGTTAAAAAGTGAGATGTGATTTTGTTGTTAGAAAAATCCATCTAAATGTGCTGGACAGAAACAGCAGAGGGATAAGATGGACTGATTTGACCACAGGGGGCGCCAAAATCAACATAAACTACAACTGTATTCTCTCAAGAGTTTTCCCTCTGGCCTGTTTGTAAACAGCTGATTGATCTAAATTTTACATTTACATATTGGCTTGAATATAAGTCAGGGTTTTATCCCTTAAAATACACATAACAAAAAGAGGATGGACAAGCTGCATCTTGTCAATCAATGCTTTAATCGCTTTTGTTGTGTATGCACTTAGGTACCGTTTGGATTTGATATAATTTTATTAGAATTGCACAAACAGGAGAAAACTAATGACCCACACATTTCTTTTCCAATTCAACATGAAGAGTTTTTAAAGTTGCTTTTATTTGTTTCGAGTATAGTACCGGTTTCTATCTGCGGCACACAAAATACAACATTTTACTATTTCTTCTCCAGAGCAGGGCCCTCCAAAAAAATCTATTTCATCTGTTTGCAGGTAATATCTTTGTACATTTATCCTGAAGCTGATAATTGACCAGGCTTGCTCTCATTTACACATTTGATTGCCTGTCTGAGGCTTTAAAACACCAATTGACAAGGCCTTGCCTCTTTCTGATTCTCCGGCACCCCACCTGAAGATAACTTTGCAGCACCTCGTGTAAAGAGAGAGCGAGTGCAGACAGAATTTACTCAAGTGTCTGGTCTCCTCCCAGATACAAATGAACAATTTGTTTTCCATTTCTTTCCAAACCTTCATCTAAGCCTTTCTGCTTTGAAGTAGGGAGTGGGAAGGGAGGAGAAGGGTAGGACAGAGGAAAAAAAGGGGGGGCTCCAGATTGTACGATACCGTGTTTGTCTTCAAAGAGTTCCGACTTGCTTACAAATGCACTAGCGAGTACAACACCTTCAAGGTGAAATTGATAAATCTGGTGGTGAGCTCTTTCATGGCGATAATAAGAAGAATTTGTGGAAAGGGTGCATGGATTTTTTTAGATGCAAATGTTGTCAAACACCACCAAGCGAAAGCCAAATTGAACTGTGCCAAGTAGATAAGCATATTTTTGAAAAAGGCACAGGGGTATATAATTACATTCATGAACAATATCAAGTGGGTCTGGCTCAGCCTAATCAGGGCTGATAAAGTGTTTTTTGAGCTCAAAACACCCACTGTTTGCCCTTTGATCAGCTCCAAAGTTGGCCATCTTCAATGAATTTCACATTTCTGAAGTACCCACAATGTTTCCCCCCCTCTACATATCAAACGTACGGTCTTATTGTAGTCATTCAGACAGAAACTTTCCAGAGGCACAGTCTGAGCACAAACAAACAAGCCATGAGGAAGAAAAAAAAACAGAAAGACAAAGAGAAAAAAGGAGAAAACTCATCAGTTGTCCATCTGGCGGATGACATCCTTTGTACCCTCCCTGTCATTTCTTTCTCATCTGCTAGAATGGACAGAATCTCCCCTCTCTTTCTCTGGGATGACTGCTTCACACAAGTCCCTGGAGACACCTTTTCCTCTGTCTCCTCTCTCTTTCTCTTCCTCTCAGTGGCTGCTATTTTCTTGAAACTTTATGAATTAGTTACAACCCTTTCTTCCTTCCTCACCTTCTCTCTTACTCTCTCATCTCAGGCTGGACGCGAATTCAACACCTGCCTCTAGACAAACTGTCCGTCTCTCCGTCCATCTGTCTGTCTACTTACCAACCCCCCTTTCTCTTTCTTTTTTTTTTTCTTCTTCTCAATGTCTGTCTGGCCCAAACGCTCCCTGGAAAAAATACAAGATGAAATTGAAAAAAAAAAAATTATATAGATATATTTTCACGAAAAAAGTTCGGCCTCTCGCATTCGTAAATGAAATGCAGCTGTGGATCGAATGGCCTCACAACTCCCCCATCGTCCTCTCCCACCCTCCTACTCCCGTCCAAGATTGGGCAGACACAGGGGGTTTGTGTGGATGTGTGTGTGTGTGTGCCTATCTGTGTGTCTATTTGTGTGTCCAACTCCTTTGTGACCGCTTTCCTGAACCCGAACCCTCCCTTTGCACGGAGGGAAATGGCGGACTGTGGCAACGACAGGGCAGTTTTACAGTGCACCGGGCTGAATGTTAAACTTATATTTAATGTATGACATTTCACACAAATCATCCGGCCACAGACATGACCCTGGGGTATTCCACAGATTGCTTTTTCAGTGCCTCAGCAACTGTGGAATTATTCGTCCCAGAGAGAGAGAGGGAGAGAGAGAGAGAAGGGGGGAAAAAAGCCTTTGAGTTTGGTGAAATGATCGCCCTCTCGCTGCTCTGGCCATCCCAGACTGGAAGCTCGCTCTCTCTCTCTCTTTCTCTCTCTCTCTCTCTTCTCTGTGATATCATGATCGCAGGGCTGTGCCAAATTGAAAACATCTTGGCAGTCTGGAGGCTGTATGAAATAACCATATATTATGTGTAGTATAACACCCGATTGGATAGCAAAACAATTATGCTGTTTTGCAGTCTCAAAAGATTCCTTTTTAGCCCCCTGAAATCTTCTGCTTGCTTGATTTCTATGTAAAAATCTTCAGAGGGGAGTGTGGAAATTATCTCAGATTTGTAAATTGCAGCTGGATTCTACCCTCCTCCCAGAATCTGGTCTGATATGAATAAGTCTACAACATTTTACAGCGATATGTTCGAACCCCAGCATGTCCATCTGTATGGATTAAGAGAAACGCTGTAAATATCTCATATTCAATTCCCCTCTGTGGGGCTTTTTTTTTTTTTTTTCTTTTTGCACTGACATGATATGGAAATAGTGGCAACCACAATAAGAGTTCATGAATACACAGTGAGGAGGGCCCGAGCATCCCCCCCAAACACACTACACCGCTGAAAATAAACACAGGGGCTTGCTTTTTTACCGCTATGGCGAGCTTTTCAAATTGCAAGAAAACCATGCAGAGAAAATTCAACATTTTCTTGGCTTTCTTGTCAGCTCAGCCTTGCAAAACAATGTATTTATACCGATGGGTTCTACACGCAGGTCATCCATTTTATCTGAGGGGACATTTTTCAACATTTAGGTGTAGATGTGAGAGGCGCGCTGTCCACTACATCAGCGTCACTCTCTTTTTTTTTTTTCAAGGTTAGACACTCGGGGTGTGGAGTTTGAGAGCATCACGGGGCAGCTACCTGTCACACTCACAGAAACACACAAGGCTCATCATGCACATTCATTCCTATACTGAATGGATATGGCTGCTGTTGATGCATGCAAAGATTTTATACTTAAAGTGGTGTGTAAACAACTGAGATAAGAGGATTTGAATCTGCATCACGCCCAATTATGAAAAATCATTTGCAACAGCTAACAGCATCAGAAGTGTAAACATGAGGAAAGATAAAAAAGACTAGTGTACCACCCACTGTACATTCCCTCTAAAGCACACACATATATACACAAGTACTCATATGTATGCACAACAGATAAGGTCCACACTTTACCACAATCAGCTGATGTGCCTTACAGCCAAGATTCAACACACAATGTGGTACACAATTGTGATAAAAGACCACGATAAGAGGATTTGAATCTCTGTATTGTGTCTAATTATGAAGAATCATTTGATACAGCTAACAAAGTCAGCATTGTAAACATTACAGAGAGATAAAAAAGAATATCATACACAGTGTTAGTCACACACACACACACACTCAGTGAGAGAAATACACAAACACTCTAAGTCACAACCACAGTCAACAGCATAATTATCAGCTCCCCCTTAGGGCGAGAGGAAACCTGTTCCTAATTGGAACCCAGTTGGGACTTTACATGGATTAAAATACATGAAGCATCTGCACACACAAATATAAATTCACACCAATCCAATGAACTCGCCCCCCCTCCTCACCACCACCCCCCAAATTTTTATTTACACTAAATCTGGCATGATCCCCGATGTCTCGCTACACACGGGTCAAGCGCAACAACACAAGTCTCCAAAGCACAATTACGGCACTATTTTCCCCCTGTTTTGTATTCTGTTTTTCTTTATTTTTGTTCCATTTCCCTGACTTAAGCTGTTGTCTAATGGACAGCATCGTGACAGAAAGGAGTTTGGTATCAGATTGAAGCCGGTTGCCCTTTTTGCCAATTTGCGAGCAGCCTCCTCTGTACTTGTAAGATGGCCAATTAGCTGACTGTCTGACAGAGGCTCTCTGACTGTGGCTATTAAAACACACACTCGTAGGCGCACTCACACACACACTCACGCACGTGCGTTGCGAGCACGCGGACGTACATGCATACACACATGCACGCATGCACACACGGATCGCGGCGCTGCCTCTGACTGTCCATCTCTATCTGCTGTTTTCGCAGGAAGCGTGCCTAGGCCTCACCCCTCACCTTCTCCTCACAATTAGGGAGGCACACACACTCGCGCAAACACACACCGTCATTTTCCTCGTCGGAAGACGTTGTGCTCCCTGACCTCTTTCTAACCCCTCCCACCCCCACCTGTTCTCCTTCCCTCACTCCTCCGTTCTTCCTTGTAACATGTTCACCCCCTTCTTCTCTCATCCACATCCTTTCCTTCACTCTCTCTTCTCCAACCTCTTTCTCATCCCAAACTTCCTCTTCTCCATCTTGTATCATCCCTTTTCTCTCTCTTTCCTTTCTCATCTTCTTCTCTTAAGTCCTTTTAACTACATTTATTTAGAGCACTCACTCTTTTCACTTCAATTGCAATGACTAAGTCTTTGAATTAGCCACTTTAGCAAATCTGTAACAGCTAAAACCACCTGAAATTATATGTTAATTCCAATCAAAAACATCCTAAGAGTTCAACTTTTGTTTCTTGGCTTTCTTGATGGAATCTGCATCTTAATGATTTATTTTGGCCCACTCACATAAATATTAACATTCACATAAATACTGTAGCCCTTTAAATGCACTCTGTATGCATGGACACACAGCAGTTATATGCAGATGCTGGCAAACACACACATGTTGCTGATAAGAACCAGCAGGGTAACCACACATGCTGTTTTACTGTGGTAGCATTTGGCCCCTATGAAAAAAAAACCTTTTAAAAGAAGCAGGAATTGAATTAAACTATAAATTTTAAACTTTTTGAATTAATTCTGAACTATTTGTGTGATATTCTGTCCTCTCTGGTGGTGAAAAGTCGCACGAATAAGCAATGACTGACAAGATGAGGGATTTCCAAGACCTGACAATCCACATGGACACAGCAAGAAAAACACACATGCACCCAAGGGACCTCCCCCCCTTGAATCTCAACCTTTATGCACCCCACAACCCGAGTCCGCCCCTTCCACCTTCCCCGCTCCCTCCTTGTCTTTGTTGTCCATCAGAGTGGTTTGTTTTAAGCCTCGGCTCCTGTCACCCCGCTCCCTGCACGGTCAAGTTCAAGGGTCTGCTACATACACACAGTGTGGCGGTGGTTGGGGAGGGGGGCACGGGTGAGGTCAACAGTTCTCTGGGTCTATAAAATGCACCCGGCACGGACACCTGCAGGCGTACATGCTTGTGCACGAGCAACAACAGTAGACACACTCCGCCCATATTCAGGACATGTATATATGAATATGATGCAAAAACACACAAACACACATACACACAAACACACAATTCTGGAGCAGAAAAAAAAAACACAAAAGCATGCACTTTGACCTGCAGAAATCAGAAACGGAAAATGAATAAATAAAATGTAGGGACACCTACACACTCATCCCGCTGCACCTGCTTCCTCAAGGTCTGTCGGCTGCAGTCAAAATGGTGGACACACAATAACACCGGGCTTAGCTTTGATTCCTAATATGGAGGAAACAATTCTATTTTTCCGTGGGGCCACTGATACTTGGAGATAGAATTCAACCCATCTATGCCCCCTCCCCTCTCTCGAACAAACACACACACACACACACAAACACACACACAGACACAAACACACCACTCCCTCTTTCTATTTCTTTTTCTTGATATATCTGGACATTACTGTGTGTGTCAGCTTCAGCAGTAACATGGAGAGGGGGGGAGAGAGCCGCTGTGACATACACATCCAAAAACACGTTTCTTTTCTCAGACATAAGAAAGGGAAATATCGTAATGTCGCACAACACCACGAAAGAGGAATATTTAATTGTTTAATTTGACTGTTCTGTCTAAAAATCAATATTTAAATCCTTAAAATAGCTTCAAAAAGTCAGAAAAAGTTCATGTAATTGTTTGAAAAAAAAGTCCTCCTATATTTTTGCTGTTATTACAGGATTATACTTGCAAAAAGAAACTTTAGTCCCGCTCTGCTAAGATTTATTTGCATTGTAAATGCAATCTGCATGTCTATCTGCAATTATTTCTAATTAATTTCCATCTAATTCTTCAGAGACTATTTCAGGCCCAGAATTAACACAAAAGAACTTCCTGCCTCAGTTCTCATACCAAAGATAATTATAAAGTTAAGAGGGTTTGCTAATTTAAAAATGCTATCTGCATGACATCAAATATACATCTTTGATCTCGCTCTGTCCCTGATGGTTAAATGCCTTTAATTATATTCATAAAAATTAACTTTCTCTGCATAATTAACAGTGACTCTTCTTTTTTGTTTGTATGTAGAGTGTGTCGTTTTTTGCTTAATTAATTCCAGTGACAAACAAACTCCTATCTCCCAGTATATACATACTATTATACAAACGTGCAGGGGAAAAAAATCCATCAATTGCATATCAAAACAGTGCACTCAATTGTGCCGTCCCAATGCAATTGCTTTTATGGGATACGTGCAAAGAGTGCAATAGCTTTTCCAGTTGCACTTGGAGCAATTTCCTTAAATCTCTGCATACCGTGAACCATAATCCTTCTACACAGTGAAAATTGCACAAAGCACACATATGACCCACATGTGTTCTTGACGATCAGGGGGGACCTTCTCCATATCTCATTATATTCCCCTATAGCATATCAGCATCTCCCTTAGGTGAATGTGTATACATACACAGAGAAAGAGAAAGAGTCAGATGATTCATATTATCTTTATCACCCGGCTACAGGAGCCGACTCGCCTCCCCTCTTTTCCTCTTCCCCATTATGTAAAACTATGGATTACGTTTGGTATGCGCATGAATCCTGCATTCAGAGGTGTGTGTTTGTAATATATGTGTGTGTGTGTTAGGAACTTTATAGCTTGTGTTTGGGAGGACAAGAGGGGGATTGGGGTGTATATACATCCGTGCATGCATGTATGCATCCATGCAGAGACCCCCTCCATCTCTCTCTCTCTCTCTCTCTCCCCTCTCTTTCCATCCATCATGCATCCATAGGTCTATCAGCTCCGGGAATGAGGTGTGGAGAGAGAGAGAGAGGAAGGGGCGAAGGGTATAACGGGAGGGGAAGAGAAATAAATTTAGCCCCCCTACTTTAAAAATGCACATACATTTCCATACATTGAAAAGGCAGTGAGGTGCACACACCCTTGCTGCTGTATCCCCAATATGTGCCCCCCCCAACCCCCACCCCACCCTAGCCACCTCCTCTCCCCATCACAGACCCACACACACTTATTCACACACACACACACTCCAAAACACCAAATACAGCAAAGATGAATGTGTGTGTCCCGTTCAGTGGGTGCGGGTGAAAATCTACCCCTTGCCATATTTATCTTCATAAGAGCAGAAGGTGCATGTGTGTTTGTCTGTATACATACCGGGTGTGTGCCTGAAGTGTGTGCGTGTGTTTGTTTTTGTGTATCTATGTGTACACAAGTTCATTTATCCAAACTGAAGAAAAAAAATAAAAAATAAAAAAACAGACCCGAGCTGCTTTCATGCCGAATGTGAGAAAAAATACGACCAGACAACTTAGATTTGCTTGATTCTCGGATATAATGCGCGTCAAAAATCTGCTGAATGTAACGCCGAAATATAAAAAAAATCCAGCCAATTGAACGTCTCACGAGTTCTCGAGTATCTTCACGGTAAAATCCGCAATTCCCAAAATGCCTCCTTTTTCATCTCCATTCCAGGATGTATTTGCTGATGCATAGATTCCAAATAGTTTATAGTCTATTTGCCTTCCGTCATGTAGCGAGGCTTTCAGACACCAAAACAACAACCACGACCTTTCCCTAAAAAGCAGCCAAAACACCCACCACCCCCTTGTAGATAATGACGGCCTGTCTCGAAAGAGGAGAGAGAAAACACGGGTGTGGTATTATTAAGCAGACTAGTTTGTTCGGCAGAAGTGTTTTTGGCTTTTAAAAAGTTCCATTTTGCACTCCCCAGGCGCCGCATATGGGGTACCCCAGGGAGGCGTGTATTTGTGTGCGTGCGTGAGTGTGTGTGTGTCTGTGTGTGTACTAAAATATTCTGACTGAGCTGTCTAGCGGCTCACAGAGCAGAGAGATGTGTCCTGTCTCCTGCATTCAAATGTGAGTGGGTTTTGGAGGGAAGCAAAAAGTAAACAGATATGCTTGCTTGAACACACACATGAGAGGGTGCGTGTGCTCGCACCTGCTGTCTCGACATGTATGCACGCATGTACGCACAACCACACACAGATACTGTATGAATATGAGCACGCACATATGAACACAAGACACATGCGCGTAAGTGTGTGTCCATCTGCTTTTCTGCCATCAAGGCTGGAGCGCACTGACGACTGATGGTACAAATAAATTATCAACATTTTTTAAAAATAATGTTTTTTATGAGGTTGCACCGTCACCAACTTGCCCTTTTGTAGGTTGCGAAGCTACGGTGTTATACGACAACATAAACCTCTGCAGGTCTACACTCTCTGTTCACTCCTTAAGCTCTTTAATGCTTTTCCATATCACACCTGCAGTATATGGGCTGTAATATAAGATAGCCCAAGACAATGAGCTGTCCAGTTGCCGAGGGGGTGAGCTGACAGCGTGTTACGAGGGAGCAGGCAGGAGGGATAGAGAGAGAGGTCGAGCGAAGGGTAGGATGGGGCCCTTCAAACAAAATATGACCCTTTAAAAGCCCTCGCCGATTGTGCGATCCGAATCCTCCTCGCTACCATATTTCCTCCCACTCCCCCTCTGCCCCGCTCTCACTGTTGTCCCCTCCTTCACTTCCTTCCCCTCTTTCCTCACTCAATCCGTTCACACACAGATGTGTTGTCTGTCATGAGCATGATGATAAATTAGCGCGGGTGCTGCTGGTGAAATAGGAGCTGGTGTCTGAGTGCAAGAGGGTGATCCAGTGGACAATGCCAGGGATGAACCACTGATAGTTCAGCTGTGGCTCGATCTGGAAAAACGCTTTGCACCGGACCGTGTCGGAGTCACATTTGCTACCAGGACAGTAACACTGTCACTTGATGTCACATGATGTAAAGTTAAGAGGTCAAAAAAAAAGAGTTTTAAAGTCACAGGTTTCCTTATTCTCTTTTTAAATCTCTTCTCCTTGAATGAGTCAAATTTTAAAAACCACAACGAGGTTCATCACTTTACACCAAAAAAACACACATTTTTAAAGCTCATTAGTTACTTTTAAGCAACAAGCAATAAATCGACCGTTCGAAGTAAAACAAGTGCAACTTCTACATTTAAATTTTTAACACTGAGGGAATGTCTGAGAGGTTTTTCTCTGCCCGTGCCAGCATGTTTGATCACAATCTTTGAACAATCTCTGGCTGCTACAGAACGGCCTTGTCTTGTCACCTGGAGCACTGCAAAAATTGGTCTCATGTATGTTTGTGAGTGTGTGTGTGTGTGTGTGTGAGAGAGTGTGTGTGTGTAAGTGTGTGTTTTCAGGGGGGTTGAAGGAGGCTGCATGCATGTGTAACTGTTTTTTTTTTTTTCTTCTTCTCCTCTCTTCTTTTTTTGAGTGTGATTCTTTTACCTGCAGGCTTTGGTTTTTTGTGCGCTGGGCTGCGTCCACGCCTGTCTGTCTGTGTGTGTGTGTGTATGTGTGTGTACGGACATGTGTTTCTCATGAAGGCCCATGCCGGGCAAATTAATTCTCAGAAGTTGCGTGGCGGGGGCTCTCCTTCCCTTTGAAATGGGGCATACTGCTCCCTGTAATCAATAAGTCAAGCCATCTCGGCCGCATGTTGCAACCCCCCCGGCACACAGATGAAGAAGCCCAATTTACTCATCATAAATTCTGATTCCCACAATAAATATGAGAGGAGGTCCCACGGTATTAGAATATCTGGAATCTCAGGGGCGTTTGAAATGCCGGCTGGCCCTCGCCTCGGCCCGCAGTTGCTTTGTTGGTTAGAATATGTGTTTTTATATTGAATAATAATGACGTGGGGTCAGGAATATTTATTTTTGATCTGAGGAGAAAATTCAAAAGGCATTTTTATTGATAAAAAACAACCTATTTCAAACCAGTGCATCCGACAAACCACGTGAAATAAAATGTCCCAGGTTCAGTCGAAAAAAAAAAAAACAAAAAAAAAACCAGACATGCATCTTTGAGATTTTTTGTCCACCTTTTGACAAAATTTCTCTGTTCTGTGAATCTTGGCATTTTCTAACAAACCTCGACAGGCACCTCCAGACAAGCGGTGACGTGTGCAAGGCGAGGGCCCGGGACATCAGGGACACGCTAATCTAACGGACATGTGCTGTCTCTCCTCTTTAAAGCCTGCGCGTTCAGTCCGTCCAGGCACATGACAGTGACCTGAGGAGGGGAAAGTGTGGTAAAATGTGACACACCTAGAGAGGGTGGGGAGGGGGGCTGAAGATCAGACTCCTTGAACCGGAGTCGTTTTGAAAAGGGAGGAATAAAAGATGGAGGAGGAAGAGCTTACTCACACATCTGAAATATCTATCTTTTTTCTGTCTACAGCTTGTTTACAAGCACAGTTGTTGGCAACTGTTGTGTACTTGTATGCATCATTGCATGTACATCTGTGCAAATGTGCACGTGCATGTCTGCATTAGCGTGCGCAAACATGATTTAATGCAACATGGCATCCCCAACACCAGTGGCGCTCTATCTATCTTCTTTTTGGCAAGGACTTCCTGCTCTCCAGAGCGGTTCCGTCGATACATGACATTTATGAGGCTCCCATGAGCCCCGGCACATGTTGCCCAGACAACTGAGACAGCTTCAGCGCCATGACAACAAAACGCCAAACACTGTCACAGCCAAAGCTGAGTGGCCCGCTGCCAACACGGCAGTTGAAATCATCCAGGAGGGGGGCAAAAAAATTGAAACAAAAGCTCGGTTCAGTTGATAAGAAGAGAAAACACACGAGGGGAGATGATAAGAAGAGAGGAGAGGACTGAGACGGGAGGAGAAACTGGATGAGAAAGTACTTTTCCATGCAAGTCAATACAGCTGTCTTCATTTGTAAGTCAGTGTTAAGGGCACTAATTCCTGACCTGTTAGTTACATGTGAGAAGAGTGAGCCACGCCGGGAGCTAATCCATACGTCTGCTGCTAAGTGGTTCATCAGCGAGTGCCGGAGATCGAATGTCACCAATTAAGATGCCTAAATGCCGGGCTAATTGTGCTCAAAGTGTAGTGCTCTGTCTCTCACATGATCGCACATGATTAGAGGCCGCTCGCACACCCACACACATGGACACAGACGCCAGATGAAAGCAGCTGTAAGTATAGGAGAGAGAGACATAAGATTTGATTGGCAAAACAATTTAGCTGCATAGTCACATCGTTAGCAATTAAGATCAAACGCATTTCAGCTTTATTGGCCAATAACACTGATGGAAGTTTTTAATGGAGGAGTATTTAAAGATAACAGAAGACTATCTGAACAGCAGGATTGAAGTAATTTGAAACAAGATGAAATAAAAGCCCAATTACAGCTACATGCAATTGAATTAAATGTTAATATATTAGATTAGGATTATATTCCTTTAGCAACATTTAAAGAAATCTCTTTTCTTCTGCGACTTTTTTTGATTTAACTTAATGTTGCGGTGATTTATTGCAAGTTTTTGACAAGATTCTGTCGGAGTATCGTTTCCTTCGCTTCAAGTATAACACATACAAGTGTGTGTTTCTGAATAGCGGGGAAATTATGAGGAATGAGAGGAGATAGCATCTGCTCCGGGCCTCTCCCTGCCTCGGCCCACAGGTCTGAGGAGCAGAGCGAATTGTGTCTGAAAGGGGATGATACCCATCGGAATGTTAATGGTGCTGAATATTTCAGAGGTGGGATCATCACATGGCAGGAGGAGGACGGGTGGGTTTCCCGAAAGCATTTAGCGGTCGAAGTTCCTCTCTGTTATTGTAAACCTGGAGTCAAAGATGATTTCAATGCACAGCTAACAAGGCACAGTTGCTGTCGGGAGCTCTTAGACGCTCGTCTTCCTCTCCTCTTTCTCTCTTAATACACTCGAAAGTTAAAACTTGTTTGCGATTCAAACTGTCTTTGATTAATCAGTAAGATAATTTTCTGTGTAACTTTTTAGTCTCGCTTCGATTCATCCAGATTTGAATTAATGGAGCGACCAAACAAAAGTGAAACAAAACATAATTTTCTCCTTCTTTTCTCAGTCTGCACATAAATTTCAGGATGTGCAGCTTTTAGTAAAAGAAGCTTTCAAAGCTTGAAATCTGTCCAAAAGCAATAAACACAGGTAACTCATATTCCTTGTGGCTCTTTTACAGTATTTGTCATGATGAAATATAAACTAACATTACACATATGGTAAATCCAGTTACCCTCGCTATATGACATAAGTGGTTCTTAAAGCCGTTTTTTGAGCAAGAAAGAAAAATCATGGGAGCCATAAAAAACAAGGGGATTGCCCCGACAGTCCTTATAAACATCTGGCAACCACTACAGTACCTTAAATTCAGCCAAAATGACTGGTTGTGTTAGCCTTGAGAGAGAGAGAGAGAAAGACGGGAAAGGCGGGGAGGATTTTTCTCTTTTTTTCGCTAAAGTGAAATTGAAGGAAAAGGATACAAAAAGAAGGAAGAGCCGGGGTCTAAAATTAAGAGAATTATTGCGTGCTCCCAGATGTGCGCAAGGAGGATGACCTGGGAAAGTCAAAGTTGTCCCCCATCAATCATTGCCATATGCTTCCAGAGAAATGGATCCTGCAGGACACTTCATATTCCTCTTTCTGATTAGTTCATTTGAGAGATGAAGAAGGGGGGGAAAAATGGATGGCAGAGCTCTCTGAAAATGGACGGCCCCGGTGTAACCCAAGAACAGAGAAGGGTTCAATGTCAAAATTAAGGCCTGCTATTTAAGACTTCAGGGATCTTTCTTTTTTTTTTTTCGTCCGTCTATTCCTCACTCACCTTTTCCCCCCTCCTCCTCCCGTGCTCCATCTTTTTCTTTTCAGAGGTTGGTGTCAGAGAGCGATAGAGCGAAGGCAATGTGTTCTTAACTCTGATCAAAGGAGGGAGAGAGGAAAGCTTTTCTAATGACTGGCATTCACTCTTCTTTCTTAATCCATCTCTCCTCTTACCCATCTCTCCCCCTCTCTCTTTCACTCGCCTTTCTCTCTCAGGGCATCGGTAATTATCGGCGAGGTCTTAGTGACTGCAAATGAAATTACCATTTAAGAGAGAGGGAGAAAGAGACATCCCCTTTGCCATAGGAGAGGGCTTAAGTGAGGCGGGTAGGGTTTCAGCTATTGATTTTTAAACTGCTACATCAGAGAGTGTAATGCTTTCATAATTTCAAATAAACTGTCTGGTTACGAAGTACTAATGAGAGAAAGAGTGAGAGCAGACCCAAACCAAGTACGAGAAGTATGGGGGTTGAATTTTAAGTGTTGACGTGCGTATGGGAAAATTAAGCTAATGCACCAGCCAGACAAAATGATCAATTTGTCGATAATCCTGCAGATACTGGCAGTTTTTAAGAAATGTTTGATGCCTATGATTTTTTTTTTTTTTTTTTTTTTCGCAGCTACAAATACTTATGTTCCACTGATACATCATATCTGATCTGACATTACATCCAAAACTTTTCAATTCACCAACAGGTAATAAATAAAAATGGAAAATGTCGAAAGTGTCTCATTTCACACCACCGCCGCCATTCAGCCAGGCAGATATATTCCTCAGAAAAAATCCAATTTCCAGCCCTCTTTTTAAAAGTATGAAAGGTACTCACTCTTTTTCTGCAGATGTAAGAAGTTTCTAGTATGTGATAAGTTAAATAATATTTTGTCTAAAGGTGATTGAATATACTGACTGATAGAGTACAGAAAGATAATAAAGATGAAGATAGAGAAAGGAAGATGGATTTTCGGATGACACTGCATAAACTCAAATCTCTCTCTTTTCTTTTTCTTGTCTCTCTCTCTCTCTCCCTCTCTCTCTCTCTTTCTCTCACCACAGACCGCAGGCCGTTGGAGGCAGCTTAGAAATCTCTTACATCTGGAAGAGCCATAATTCATGGGATTTGGCCTAACAGCCATGACAGGCATTGGGGCGGCCAGCAACAACTGTCTCCTGTGTTAGCAACACTGTATGTGTGTGTGTGTGAGAGAGCGAGAGAGAGAGAGAGAGAGAGAGGAAGAGACAAGAACTGAGAGACAAAGACAGACAGTGTGAGTGTGTGTGTGTTTGTTTTTCTCCTTCTTTTTATTTATGCAGGGAGCTCAGGATGAGACGACCAGAGGAAGTTAATTTAACTTTTGATTTATTCGACAAAGTTTCGAGACATTATTTATACGTGTTTATAACAAACATTCAATCAGATTCCATTTAGTCGAGTGGGCCTGCTAAATGGATGCTACGTGCCCCTTAAAAATCACCAAATTTCTAAATGAAAACATTAAACATTACACTCTGAAACATTTGAGAAAAATTGAGACAAAAACAACATTGAAAAAACAATTAAAATCATCTTTATCTTGATGAAACACTTAAAATATGTAAATATGAGCTCAAAATAGGGGATTATAATAATGAATCTGCTTAAACTATCCCCAATTTCATATGATTTGATTTAAAATAAATTATAGATATAGTTTTTTGTGTTTGTGTGTATGTAATTTATAATTTCATATTGTATCCTGCTCCTGCTGAAGTGACTGTTACGGACACTTCTCTCTTACAAACTATGATTAAATTGACAAAAATAATATCAATTCACTGTTTTTCTTTGCTTCTTTGTTTTTTTTAGTGTATATGCATCCGCGCACAAATTCATACAAGAGACACAAACGGACCTACAGCAGAAAAAGCAGTGGCGTCCATGTGTTTCATAGCGTGCCAGAGGCTCCCTGTGTCGGCCCTAAATATTACACACAGACAGTAGCTATCACTTCCAAGCCTGAAATCCCACATTCCACATTCCTGATTCCAGCGGCTCGCCTGCTAAGCTGGGCACCACATGAAGAGCCATTGTTAGAGAGAGAGGGGTCATGTATCTCTCTCGCTCTGTCTGTCTGTCTCTCAGCCCTCCTTCTCTCCGCCCAAATATCTCTCACTGTCATATTCTCTCTGTCTGTCTGTGGCTCTCTCTTGCTCCGTCTCTCTTTCTCTTTCTCCCTCTGCTGGTTTATCTTTATCTCTCTTACTTATTCCTCCTCTCCTCCGCTGTGCTTTGTCGCCCACTCTCCCACTCACTTCTTCCTTTCTCTTTTTTTTTTTTTTTTTCCACGTCTTGTATTTGTTTGTTTTCTATACCTTGCTCAACCTCCTGTCTCCTACGGATGCATTCTTTTCCGTGGCTCTCCTTCACTCTATAAGACTCTTACTTTGCTTTCTTTCCCCTCTCTCACTCTCTCTCTCTTGCGAGGTCTGTCTGTCTCTCTCTCTCTCTCCCAGTGTGTCTCCAGATATTCATGTAGAGATTTTCTCACATGTTAGATATAGATTTACGACCCCAGCCAGATCCCCGTGGCCACTAAATTTGATACCATCCACTAAGCCACATTGTTTTTTGTGTGTTCGGGCTTGTCTGTTGTGTGTGACTGTGTGTGTATGTGTGTGTTCATGCATTACAAGGTGGAGGCGGGTGACTTTTAAAGGGTTAGCTTGGGTACGGTGGGCGCAGAGGAGGAATTTACAGTTTATTGAAGCACAGCAGCCAGGTGTGTGTATGTGTGCGCATATATACGTGTGTGTGTGTTAAACAGAAAGAGAGAGAGAGAGTGCCTGTGGGTGCCAGGTGACCAGGCTAACCTCTTGGCTGGTGTTTTTGGATTTAGCCTTTGGATAGCGGTGAAAAATAAAAATGGAATGCTTTTTCAATTACAGATCAGAAAGCGAGCGAACAAAGGCAGGAGTAAAAGAAAAGATGAGTTATTGGGATCTAACATATCAAGGCTTTCCTGACAGGAGCATTGTTAAAAATCCGAGTGCATTAATTTTGACTTTCGGGACATTTTGTACTTGAACGTTTTCGAGAGTACAGCTGAGTCCAATAAAATCTGTTAGGTAATGTTCAGAAGTTGTTGTACTTTTCAGATTTTTTGGTATTAGTGTCATCTTTTAATAAAGCAGCGGGAGAAACAAACGCCTGTAATGCATTTTGACATCACATTGTTGAACTGTGTTTCATTTGAGAGCACAAATGTGCGCAACATGTACGTACAGAAATAGAACAAGGATTGAGTGAAATATGAAGACACAAACAACAACCTGTGGAAGGCAGTCACTGTTTTTGTGTTTTTGTGTTTTTTGTGCATGTTATTAATTCTGACAGTAGTCAGTTTAAAGGTACTCGTCCTCTGCCATGCATATTTAATTGGCTGTAGGTGGTATTTGTTGTGTTTTCATGTCTGTTTGTTTGAATCCTTTCCACAAGTTGTCAGGGGTGGGGCATTTGGAAATGGCACCGTCGAGCACCAAGGTTTGTAATATTGTTGTTTGTCTGTGTGATGTGAGATGCTATTCGCCGTTTGATGTTTGGCTTGGAGGAAATACACAAAATAAAAGCCCTGCGAGATAAAGGTGTGTTTTTGCACATGTTTGAGCGTGCGCGCATCCCCTCAAACTGCTCGAGTGTCACTCACGCAAAGTGTGTGCAAAATGTTTGCCCCCGCCGCATGTGTTTGCATGCAGGTATTCGGCGTGTGTTTGTGTGTGTCCGCTTCACATCTAAAAGTCATATCCTGCTTCAGATCAAATGGTGTATGAAGGAGGGGAATGACAGGGAGAGAAAGTGATAGCTCTTTAATGTTACCTATCCACTCTCAAACCCAAATATAAGAGCAGGAAGACACAGAATAGAAGAGTGTGTTTTAGAGGGGGGAAAGGAGTGACATGAAACACTTATGTAGAAAAGCTCTGAACATGACGGTGGCTTTGTAGCTGAGGGGGAAATGTCTCAGCAAACAGGAAGAAAGAGGTAAATTGGATGAAGGAATAAAGGCGGTAGGGGCACGGAATGAAACAGCAACTAAACTTTTTTTTTATGTGTGCATGTTGAGATACAGTGATAGTTTTACTTTTTGACTTGTTTCTCTGAGTCACCTCTTGCTTATTTTTGGCTTTGAGGCGTTTCAACTTCTCCCTGCATGTCAAATGAACTCTTTACTTCATGATTTTACTAAAAATTTCCTGCCTTATTGTTTGTTAAAAAAATGCATTTCCACTCTGAAGTTTTCATCCTTGACTGAAACGCTCTTGTTGTACAAAATATTACACTCTCTTAACCCAAAAGGGAATATGATGCTTTGTAAATGCATTTTTTTTTTCTGTGTTTCTTCAACTTTTTCCTCCCCTTTTGTCCTCTCCTTCAAGTAGCCTGAGCTGAAATGGATGAAAATATTTACTGTGTGCACTCCTGCCACAGATTCTTGACTTCTCTTGGTCTTTCACTCTCTTTTCTCCCCTGCTCTCTTGCTCCTAAATCAGAGAAAAAAAACTGCTTGCTATGACTCAAATAAGTGTATAATAAAAATATTTCTAGCTCCCCTTCATGGACTACTGTCCTTTTCCTCCATGTGGTTGTTTAACACATACAGGCACCCACAAAGTGACTCATACACACTCACTCACTCACTCACACACACATGTTCAAATCCTCCACATTCCTCTCCCCGGTGCAGGCCTTGCCCTCGTGTCTCACTCGCTCTCCTCACCAGGAAATTAACCTTGACATTTCCAAGACATAATTCCCTGTAATAAAAAAGTGTGTATAAATATATATAAACAAACGTGTGAAATATTCATAGAGGGAGCCATATGTGAGGAGGGCCTGCATATCAAAGATGAAGACACCGCTGGGGAGGATTTTCTTTTTTCCTATCTGCCATCTTAACACAGCCATCATCCAAGGATCAAGTTCCTGCGTTGAACATTACTTTGCGTGGGCCCCGTTGTTACATTCAACAGCAGCCTTCAGCCCGGATAAATGAACAGTCTGCCTTAGATGTACTGCCTATTCAAAGACAGAATAAGAATTAGAAGCACTATAATGGCCGGAGTGCAGGAATGGAGGAATGTTGAATGTTCAGTGAGACGTATTGATGGCTTACACGCTAATAAAAAGACATTCTGACACGTTTCAAGGACAACAAGACCAATGATACCGCCATGCAAAGGGAGCGTACAGCACATAATTTGGATGGTGAGGACGACTTAAATTATGTATTTATCGCAGCTATGGTGCCACTAGTCCGGGGTATCTTTAGATCTGGAACCATACTGTATATATTCCCATCATGTTGAGTCGTTGTACAATTAGACCTCGACAGAAAAAGATCTGTGGAGTTACAGTAGACCATTTCCTCCTCCTGTCATACTGACATTATAAGCCACTGAAGGTTCAAACTCACCCCAGACTTTGTACATATAATTTTGGGTTCATGTGCAGAAGAAGCCAAGTTTCAAGTATAGTTTTGATCCAGTTCTGACATGTTGTCATGGGAGTTTTAGTTAACTGCACTGATTTGGGTGGTTTTGCTAAGATACTCAATTCTGCAAACTGATCACATGCAAGAAACTCAAACACTGTCTTCAGCCTAAGTTAGCTCACTCCTCCCATAATGAGACGACAGAGCCATTACTCCACATTGAATTCAGAGCTTTGAAGACCAACATAGGACTGGAAAGCTGGGCGTAAACTAAACGTATTAATCTGATTCTTTCAGGATAAGTTTGACCTCAATCATGAATCTTTTGCTGTGCAGTGTTCAGAGGTGAAAGGCCAAACAAGGTGCTTTGGACTCGTCAGATGAATTTCTTGCATGTTAGAAGTCATAGTCATCTTATGGTACACGTTCCTACAGTGAAAACATAGTTATTAGCAACAATAACCAAACTTCAGGGCTTTTTTTTCTGATTATGCCTGAAAAATAGTGGAAAACATCTTACACACTGCCTGATCTGATGCTACCATTGCCACTGTCCTCCCACCATTACGGCTCCGTTACTACCCCTGAGAGACTATCTGAGGCAGTTTGGCTTTGCCCCACCTTTACGCCTCCGTGCAGACAAGAACTGGTGTGCGAATATCCCACCTTAAAAAGGCAGTATGATAGAGCCAAGTGTCAGAGGACACATAAAGGAAATGTGGAAGACTGAAATACACAAAAACAAACCAACCAGCCACAACACTGTCACCGTCTGTGTAAGAGCCACCTTGAACGCTGAAACACCAGAAAAGCGGTCAACTTAACTCTATATTCAAAGTTGAAAGTGTATTCTGTGACTTAAACTTTAAAGTTTAGAGTTTTCAAATGAGACCTCCTAAACAACTGTCAGTGCTCTCCACCAATGTTAGGTCGTGTTTAACAACTGAAACACACAGTATAAAGACATAATTCATGAACTTTGGTTGTATTTGTACTGAACATCCAAAATCTGGTTGTTTTCACCACAATTGTTAGACAGTTTTATAGTGGATGCAGGGCCTTCGTTCATTTTCGGTGTGCAAGCTTGCTGCCAAATAAAGTAAGGCGTTTTGTAACACCATTTGTATCAGTAACCAACTGATATAACAATGGGATAAAATGTTTTCAGAAAGCCTGGCCTCTACCTCATCCACTGATTTTGACTGAGACAGCTAAAACACGTTTACAGGGACTGTGATCGACCTTTCTCTACAGCCCTGAACTGGCTGTTCTCGGCACAGCTATGTCCCATATTAACGCCTATTTTAACTCTGAGTTTTGAGGTCTTAATGAGACTATCAACTTTGGTGAATTTTTACTATTTGAAGCCAAATTTCTAGAGGATCTTAAATCGTCATAATGCTGAAAACTTGTCCGCATATGGCGCTGTAATTCTACCTCTATCTATTTCATAGTGGTTTATGTTTTTGAGGGGAATTTACCATCCTGAAACAATGTCAGCACATACCCGTGTGTGCATTACTCCAAGCATATCTGTGATCTTTGCACATGTGCTTGCACGCCTGCATGCTCCCCATCATAATGAAATGACAGTGATGTGGATCCAAAATGGCTGGTTTTTAGTATTTGGACACCGGGGTGAGGCTGAAATGAGGCAGGAGGGACACGGTGAACGAGAGAGGGAGCGCGGCAGAGGGGTAACGGAAGCGTGCAGATAGGTAGCGATCGTATAATACCATCATGGAACACCATCGCTCCCCGTCTGACCGGCCTCATTTTAGGGCAATGGAACTCCAGAGGAAAAGGCGCCAATGGCACATTATTCTGCCTTGGAAAATCACCCTCATGTTTTTATTCATGGCTGCACCACAAACAACAACAGAATTTGATTTCCAGTGTAAATATTCTGCAGCAGCACTGATAGATAGATAGATAGATAGATAGATAGATAGATAGATAGATAGATAGATAGATAGATAGATAGATAGATAGATAGATAGATAGATAGATAGATAGATAGATAGATAGATAGATAGATAGATAGATAGATAGATAGATAGATAGATAGATAGATAGATAGATAGATAGATAGATAGATAGATAGATAGATAGATAGATAGATAGATAGATAGATAGATAGATAGATAGATAGATAGATAGATAGATAGATAGATAGATAGATAGATAGATAGATAGATAGATAGATAGATAGATAGATAGATAGATAGATAGATAGTACAGACGGATGGATGGATATACATGTGTAAGTGACTCTCTGTGAAGCACCATAATGACATCTCCATAACCTCTTCCTGCTCTAATCACCACCTCTTCCTGCTGGGCCTGTGTCACTTCCTGCTGAGCCCTCCACGGTAACTAAGATGAGGTACATGCACCTCCCATGGATTACACTGCCGATGTCTCCACAGTGTTAGAGGCCCTCACCGTGACAACCGAGTCCTAGGTTAGCCGAGGTGATGCGGGGAAGACATGGAGTGGCAGATGGAGATCAGCATGTGAACTGCAGAGAGAGAAAGAGTAAAAATGAGCGTTACTTCTGTATTAACAGAGGAAATAAGAAAAAATATTCTATTTCTGTAGTTTATAAAGATTTAAAAATAAATCATTCCATAACTCTAGGTTACTTTCTTTATCTTTGATTTATCCGATTAGTTTAATTCGATAGCTGTACATTGTAAACCTCAAACTGGAGGTATCAGGTGGATAAAAAGTCATTGCAAATTTGAGTAAACGACATTAAAAGGCCTTCAGTTTATTTTATTCTTTACTTTAATAATTTTCAACAGGAAAAGGAAGCATATCCACTTCAAATCGAGCCGAATTCAGCACAAGTTTCTAAGGAAACGTGGCCAAGTAACTACCACTGAGCACATATTGGTATTTTAGCTACCTACAGTTCTGCAGGCATTACAGAACGCAGCAGAAACATAATAGACTCTCAACAAAGCATACATTTCAAACCGTAACACTTGTCACACAAGTATAGATCTCCAAACATGCTCGTATTTCTGAAAAGGTAAAGAAAATGCATTATCTTTGAATTCAGCTCCGGTGCTATTCACCTGCCTGGCCACCTAGCCTTGTTTTTCTATACATTCTTCCCAGATCAATTAGAACTGCTCATAGAGGGCTGGAGTCCCTTGTAAATGATTTGTACTGCGGTGCCTCTTGAAGGTAATCAATGGCAGCGTCTTGCCAGATTCTGAAAGGTAACCTTGAGATTGGCGCTCTGCAGGCCAAAACTCATAAAAGCCCTGCCCGAGCATCAAGTGAATAACTATGTAAGTACTTATACTCTTTATGGTTCACATTGCTTCAAAAAGGTTTAGAGGCAACATCAATAGAGGGGCTGCAATTACTGTAGAGAATATTGGACTGTAATGTTTTCAGCGCAGGCTATAAAACTAAGTGTGTAGGCTGTATGCAGGAAAGCATTCCCTACATACCTGAAAACATGATCGCCATTTTTTCTCAACTACAAGGTGATCAGCGAGATCTGATCTGCTGTTCAAGAACGAGCTGAAGAAAAAATACTGTTTTCTTTCCACTGGAAAAAAATATATATTTAAGATCTAAAATAAACCAGATTTGGCAACAAATCTCAAGGCCTTTTGAGGCCTGAGCCTTTGTTTTTCATTTCACTCTATGTGTGTATTTAATATTTGTCATTTTTCCAATATGTCAAAATCCCCCAACAAGCTCGGCTATCTCATCTCTGTCCCACTCTTGAAAACCTAAAATATAACTCCCGCTGTACACCTCTGCTATATGATTCTGTGAAATAAAATATTGACTTCATAAACACAACAGCAGTAAAAATAAACCAACCCGTGTTATGCCTCGCTGCGAGCATCTGCGCCTTAAAAAAAAAAAAAAAAAAAAAGTAAGGTTGAGTGTGCAAGAAATGTGAAATTCACAGAGTGAAAAAAAAAAAGAAGAATTCCCAGCATGTTGCAGAATACCAATATCCTTAAGCAGGCGGGGTTTTTGATGTATAGACTCCTGCCAGTGAATTGTACAGATGAGACACTTAAGGCAAGACAATAGTGTTATAGATTGTGGCAAGAGTTA